GAATCTTTACAGGAGCAGTGAGTCTCATCTGTTTGCTGCAAAGTGGTTGATGGTTTGGAACCATAACCCAATGATTAACCTTCTAATCTACTATCAAAAATCACACTAAGCCAAGACAAAACAATCTTTATTAATTAGCAAAAGTTTTGTTGACTTAAAAGTGATTTCAAGGAAACCAGTCTGCTCAAAGTTCAAGCTGCAAAGTAGGACCTCAGGGCACTAGCTTTGGTGGGTTATTCCAACATCTATGAAACCCACAAATCTGGACTCCATGGAAACTACAAGTAGTTCTTAATATAATCTATCTCCATTGACTTGTCTATTTTTAAATATCTGGAAAAAAATTAAAATTATGTATTGTATGAACCTGTATGAATGTCTCAAACACACAAAAAAGAAATCTTAAATTAATAAATGCTTGTGATTTAAAGATTTTATTTTTTGAGCGTTGCATTAACATTTTTGTGAATTATTTTTAATGCAATGAGTTCACTACTAAATTCTTTCATATTACATATTAATTATTGTATAAAGAATATAATTAAAGAAGGCAAACCACAACAAATATCAAATATGCACCATTAGTATTTTTATTTTGTCTTCAGGTCTTTATTAATTTTACCACTATATCTAAAATTAATTAACAGGTATCTTATCATTTTTAACTTATAAATAAATAGCCCTAGAATAAGTACTAGATGCAAAATGAGACTTTGCTGAATTTTGAGAAATGGAATCTCAAAGAATTTATAGGTTCTAGCCCATGAAACAAAGGTGCACAAGATAAGGCACTTAGCTGATAATGTTTCATAATGACTAAAAGATCAATGACTGTCCAGGGGAGAAAACACCAGGAAGACATGAAATGATCTAAGGATACATCAGTGTGGTCTCAACCACTTTGCTTTGTTATTAAAGAAGACAAGAATGATTTTAAGAGGAATTCATACATTATATTACATGAAAGAAAGTGAGGGAGAATTAGAAATTCAGAGTAACGGATGCTGCCTGTGGGAAAAAGAATACCCTGAGTGGCATCAACAGAATAGGCATTTTTATTTGGTAATTATTTGAATGCATGGAATTGGTGCAAAAGATTCATAAAATCTATATATCATTGCTGACTAAATGTGGTTGTTTATATAAGCATTGGTCCTAGTTCAGCACGTCACAAGATGTAAAGATGGAGAATAAGTCATAGCCAACATCAACAACTCTCCTTCCATTGAATAGCAGTACCAACCTCTAAGACAAAACCGAGTTTAAATAGTAAAAAGAAGTGCCTCAGACGTACAATATTAGGAAGATATCACAGGACCAGGAAATATTTTATTTCATTCTGTTGTACATATAGCCTCAACAAGCCAGAGCTGATTCACTGACAAATAACAACAAAAGATGAGTACATGGGAAACAAAATAATGACAGTAAAAAATGTTCATGTAGCCAATGAAGAGTGCTTGCCAAATTAGACACGTATGGCCAGAGTTGGAGAAAAATATATTTTCTACTTGGGGCCCAATATAGAACCTAGAATGTATATTGTCACAGGAAATGGAGAGAAACAGAAATACAGTGTTAGTAGAATCCAAATTTGATTAAGAGACAGAGTAATTGATCAGGTAAGTAGACCTATCAGGAAAATAGTTAGGCAAGCAAGATAAGTAAAAAATATGATATAACAGGGTATGTCTCTATTGTCTACCTATCTATATATATAAAAATATAGAAATGAAAGTGAACATAGGTATAGGTTATATAAATGAAATATATAGTTCTATGCGTAGATATGTATATTTAAGTATACATATAGGTATGAATATGTGTATGAAATGGGACCATAGATCTACAGCTTGGTACAAAAAAGATTCAGTTTTCACTCCCTAGGATGGAATAGTGAATTATATATTGGGTTGCTAAACACAAGGTCAGCAATTTGAACCAATTGGAAACTGTGGGGTAAATGAGAATATAAACTCCTATAAAGACTTACAAGATCAGAAACCCTAAGGAGCAATTCTACTTTGTGCTATAAAGTCACTATGAATCAGTGGGTTTTTGTTTTGTTTTGATACCAGAGCAATTAGTAACATTTTTCTATTTATGTAGGCAAATGTCCATTTTTATTGTAATTTTTGTTTCTAGTAGGTAGAAGTACATGATTATCTTATGAATCCCACTGCCATAGAGATGAAGCTGACTCATAGGGACCCCATAGGAGGACATGGTAGAACTGCCCTTCTGGGTTTCCAATACTGTAACTCTTTAGGGTGTAGAAAGTCCCATCTTTCTTCTACTGAGAGGCTGGTGATTTCAAACTGCTGACATTGCAGGTAGTAATCCGACGTATAACAAGTATGCCCACAGTGGCAATAGATGATAGATAGATAGATGATAGATAGATAGATAGATAGATAGATAGATAGATAGATAGATAGATAGGGTCATGCATACATAGACAAAGATAAAAATAGACAAAGATATACATAAATTGCTTGCCAACTTTGACCCTATAGAACAAATTAGAATGGCCACATGGGGTCTCCAAGTCTGCAGTCTTTCCAGAGCTGACTGTCAAATCCTTCTAACTCTGAGGAGCTGGATTGGAACAGGTGGGTTGAAACTGCTGACTTTCCATTAGCTGCCTGGTGCTTAACCAATGTTCTTCAATGAGTCCTTATAAATAGGTATACCTATAGTGTATGCGTGGGTTAATTTTTATATGATTCAAAGCTCTGGCTATTTATCAATATAAATTGTTATCTCTATAAATCCTTCCAAACTTTCCTGTAAATGCAGATTCTGTGAATTTCTAAATAAATAATTTCATCCTTGCTTATGTTTTATGACATAAAGCTTTTCTGAGAGCCCCTTTTACTTCTGTATTTCTCAGGCTGTAGATGATGGGGTTTAACATCGGCGTAATGACCCCATTCAGCATGGAGATGAGCCTGTCTCTGGCTGGGGAGTGGTGACTGGAGGAGGGGCGGATGTAGGTAAATATCGTTGTCCCATAGAACAAACCAACCACCAGGAGATGGGAAGCACACGTGGAGAAGGCTTTGCGCTTCCCTTCTGCTGACCGGATCTTCAGGATGGTGGATATAATGTAAATATAAGAGATACCAGTGATCAAGAAGGCACTGATTCCCAAGATACCTCCTACCACTAAGACAAGCATTTCTGCCACATATGTAGAGGAGCAAGAGAGGGCCACCACTGGAGGGATGTCACAATAATATTGGTTGACACGATTCGATTTACAGAAAGACAGGCGGAATGTGAACACGGTGTGCAGAAGGGAGTTCAGAAACCCTGCTGTCCAGGTACCAGCGGTGAGAAGGACACAGCGTCCCTTTGTCATGATGAGGGTATAACGAAGAGGGAAACATATGGCCACATATCGGTCATAAGCCATGACAGCCAGAAGGAAGACTTCTGTCCCTGCCAGGGCCACCAGGAAAAACAGCTGTAAAGCACACCCAACAAAAGAAATGTTTTGCTTCTGCGTCAAGAGGTTCTTGAGCATCTTGGGTACAGTAGCTGATGGACAGAATATATCTAACAAGGACAGATTTGCCAAAAAATAATACATGGGTGTGTGCAGCTTTTTCTCAGTCCCAATGGCAAGGAGGATGGCTCCATTTCCTACCAAAGTAACCTGATAGATGGCAGCAAAGATCACAAAAAGTGGATAGCGCACCTCAGGGAGGTCAGAGAGCCCTATGAGGATGAACTCCGTGATGGTTAGGTTGTAGACATCCATCTCTTCTCTCTGCAGGTGTCTTTCTGGATGGAAAGAAACCAACAGCCACAGATTAGGCTCAAAACCAAGGAATTTGGTGATGAGAAACACTTCGAAAATAATACAATTGTGACTGATGACGAATTGCACTAGCCTTGTGTTAATTAAACAAACAAACAAAAAACACTGTCATCAAGTCAATTCTGACTCATCTAGATCCTATAAGACAGGGTAGAACTATCCCTATGAGTTTCGGAGACTATAACTCTGCATGGGAGTAGAAATACTGGTCTTTCTCCTGCTGAGCGCCTGATAGTTGCAAACGGCTGACCTTGAAGTTAGAAAGTTAGTTGCTCAAACATAACCACTAAGCCACCGGAGCTCCTTTCATTTTAATCACAGATTCAAATATTGCATTAACTTTATGCATTATAATTCTTGGGCTATTAAAACTTACTTTCTTAACAAGGGTCTTTTAAAAGTTTACCTCCTCAATAAATTCATTGTTGACCTTTTGTAGTATAGGAAATCTCACCATTTAGTGAAAGCTTAAATGAAGATCTCACTCTTGGTAACACACTTACTGTATTCTGCCATGTATTAGTACAGTGTGTTTATTTATGCACCATCTCAATACTATCTTGTTATATGTTAAACTGTTTGCAACTAGGAGACAGAAATTAAAATGTAAATAATTAAATTTTGCATCTTCTGTAAAGACAGTTCTTCATAATTTCAGATTTATATACTTTGAAAATATGTGCATTGTGTTCATAACTCTGGAACAAGGTTATCCTAATAAAAAGAAATTTAGTCTGTAAACATAAGTCAAACTTATTTATTTGTATGAATGTTGCTCAAATATAAACAGACATAATCACATATAGGCTTAAGCAATCATTCCCTTAAAATAGACATTTTTACTATTTATCAAAATGCTTAAGTAGATATGGGATTTCAAAAAATATATGTGCTAGACAGTATATCATTGATATAGTGTACTTATTAATTTTCAAATTATATTGGAATGTAACTTAATATTCCAAATACTAACCATATATTTAGTATTTAAGCATAAATTATAAAATAATTTAACTAAAGACTGAAAATTTGTACTTCTGTGTCTTTTATATCACATTTAGGTATTTTCTTTTTCTTAAAATATTTGCATTACAGAAAATTCAAAAATAATATAAGGTTAGAAATGTACAGTCAAATTCTTATTTGGCATCCATTCTATTTGTTTTGCAACTGGCAATAACTTTGAGCAAATATAAAATGTGAGGCATAATTACACAAGTTGTACATACTGATTCAGTTACTCAAATGGAGATGCATTATTTTATACGAACCTTTTCTTTGCTGCCCTGTTGAGTACAAGTTGCTGAGAGTACATGGACCACGTGACTATTCTTCCTTTACGCAGCCCGAGAGAAAAGGTCTGTACTGAACTTCTGAGGAAAATATGAAAACAAAACTCCGATGAATGCTTTTGAAATCATGAAATTTAAAAAACAAATTATTATAATAAGTAGCAAAACATCATGGATGCCATTACTCAATCAACCAAAGCTTTTTTATTAGGTAAATGAAGCAAAGTGGAAACAATCTATCTAAATTGGGTCAATTTTCAATATTAAAAATTCTAAAAGAACAATTTAATTTGCTATTCTATATGCTTTTTTACTAATAGTTTGAAAATATAATAATAATACACATAAGATAAAAGGAGAAATTAAAAATTAAGAATATTGTTTAGGTTACATAATGAAACCAAATTTTTTTTGCCTATGTTTATTAATTTTACTTCCTTTGTTTAAACAAGAGTTATAAAAAACAATAGCCTCCTGATAAGAGCCCCCAGTCTAGCTCTACATTGGTTATATGAACATGCATTCTATAAATAATAATATTCATTTTTCCTACATTTTGGTTATCTATATTACAAATAAAACTTTCAATCAGATTGCTATATAGAATGCCAAAATTGTTCAAGTGGGAAAAAGCATATTTATAATAACAATCTGCTCTTTGGGAGGAAAATATAAATAAATCTCATGTATATGTTTATCTGATTAGGAGGTAAAAGCCATCCTTTACATAACAATGTGTTGTTGAGGACAAGGTTCTTGTTGTTAGGGGCCATGGAATCAATTCCGGCCTACAGTGACCTGATGGATACACAACAGAATGAAATAATGCCATTCCTGGGTCTATTTTCTTTCTTTTAACAGTGTTGGTTAAAAAAAAAAAACATTTTTCCCCAGGAATTTACCAGAGAAAATAAATAATACATTATAATGTAATTTGTTTCTGACATTTAAGTAGTCACTCTAGAAAATGAAGGTGGATAAATAAACTGCCTTTTTAACCCAGTAAATCTATAGCTCATTTAGCAGAGAATAAGAGAAGCTCACATAAAATGTAATCTCTCCACCTGTAAGGTCTGGGGCACAATGTAAGCACATATATGAAAACATCAAGAATGTGCTGTCATGAGCTTTCATCATAGTCTAGGCAGCCAAAAATTTAATAAGAGTCTGTAGGAAGGAGTACTGTTACACTAGAAAATCATCCAGAAATTGAGATAAGAAAGAAGTCTGTCTTTTAATTTTGTATTTAGTTAATGCCAAACATACCATACATGAATCTTCTTTCTAGCAATTTGGTATTTCTGCTTTTCACTATATATAGGGAAAAATAGGTAATTAAGCAACATCATAACTGAGAAATCTTAGCTTTTAAGATAATACAAATTTTATAATTTACTTAGTATATTAGCATCAAGGAACAGCACATTATATTGGAATTCTCTTTAAAGTATATTGCTAAGGACGAGCTTCTATTATCTCCTTTTTCAACCTAACGGATTGATAACTGTTACAGGAATAAAAAATTGAGGGCAAAAAAAGACAGCTAACATGTCATTTCTCCACCTGTTTAATGACATCCTTATTTTCTATTGGATGAAATTTTCTGGTGAAAATTCATTCAGTTGAATGATTCAGAAACTGACCTTATTAGACACATTAAATATTTATATTCAATGGATTTGGGTACATATTCAGCTAGGCATGAACATTATAATACAGCTTCTTACCCATTTAATATTCCGTTTTAACTTACTCTTTAAATATATAAAGTTTCACATCAGATTAACCTTACTAATATATTTTTAATTTCAGCTTAGAAAGTCCATAATTTAATGTTTGTCTTAGTTTTAGTTTCATAGATTTCATTACCAATATAAAGTCTCCACAAGAAGAATGCAAAATGACTCAACTAATAAAAATGCAACAGTAAAGAAAAGCAAACTACTTATTTATATACAAAATCTTATTAAAATGTATTGTATAACTCATTTTATGCCCATTTTCCCCTTGGAGTAGGGAATGACAATTAGAATTCTAAAGGGAATGTGCTTCTCATCTTGATCAATCTAAATTACTAGAAACCAAATAATGTGCAACGTACTTTATAAGTTGAAAAAGAAATCCAATTATAAAGTGAATTTTCTCCTTCTTTTATGGTCTTGGCTGAGAAAAAAAAATTTAATTCCAAGAATTTACTAGACAAAATTAATAATAATGATGTCATTTGTTCTGTCATTGAAAGTCATTCCAGAAAAAAATAATTATACATCAATTTTAATATGTTGCATTCCTCATGAAAATTTTATTTTAAATGTTTTTGATTATTATAATATGCATATACAATAGCAATACTAGTTACAATAAAGGTAAAACATTATGTTGTTCAACTCTCCATGCCTGAATAGATCAAAATTTGAATTTACTGCAACTGCAAATTCTGTCTTGATTTTTTCAGCAGTATAATGATTTTCATAGAGAATATGCCTTTGAAAAGTGGCACTCAATCACTCTCAACTCAAAATGATCCTATGCACAGCAGAAGGAGAGAATGTCTAGTCCTGCTGCATCTTCACACTTGTTAAGTTCGAGCCCACTGTTGCAACCATGGTATCAATCCATCTCCTGGAGAGTCTTCCTCTTTTTCCCTGACGCTTTACCACGATGATGTCCTTTTCCAGGGACTTCCCTTCTGATGATATTGCAAAAGACACGTCTCAACATCCTCCTTCTAAGGATAATTCTGCCTTTACTTCTGATAAGACAGATCTGTTTGTCGTGGCACTCATGCTACCTTCGATACTTTTTGCCAACATCATGAGTCTTCTTTATTCACCGTCCAGCTCTCACAGACGTATGCAGAGATTGAAAATTCTCATGCAGAATCCGACTCCTTTTGGTCCTCAGAGGGACATCTTTGCTCTTTAACACTTTACACAGGTTTGTGCAGCAGCAGATTTGCCCAGTGCAAAACGTTGTTTGGTTTCATGACTGCTATTTCCATGAGCACTGATTGTTCGTCTGAATAAAAAGAAATTCTTGACCATTTCAGTCTATTCTCCATTTGTCATGATACTGTTTTGGGTCCAGGTCTGAGGATTTTGTTTTCTTTACATTGAATTATAATCTATGCTGAAAGCTTCATATTTTAATCATTATCAACCACTGCTTCAAATCTTCCTTGCTTTCAGGAAGCAAGGTTATATGTTCTGCTTATTACAAGTTATTAGTAAGCCTTATTGTAGTCCTGCTGCCACATTTTATTTATTAGGTCGAGCTTCTAAGATTATCTGCTTAGCATACAGATGAAATAGTATAATGAACAGATACAACCCTGATGTAAGCATTTTCTGATTTTAAAACGTGGAGTATTTTCTGTTTCTGTTTTGACATTGTTCCTCTGAGTCCACAATGAATACAACGAAGTGCTCTGGAATGTGCGTTCTTCTCAACGCATACACAGTTTATTTCCCCTACAGTAATATGGCTTTGCATAGTCAAGGAAACACCAGTTGAATATTTTTCTTGCATTCTCTGCTTTCAACCAAGATCTGACTTCAACAATGATATGGCTTGTTCCATATCCTCTTCTGTATGCGGATTAAATTTCTGACACCTGTCAATTGATTTCTGCAGCTACTTTTGAATTAT